CCAGTTACATTAATCATTTAAATCTTTTTTTAAAATTCATTTATTTTTTAAATATATAAAAGTTGATGTTTTGTAGTATTTCGAAATCAAGGTTATCCTTTATCCTGAAGACGTTCGGAGCCAATTATGTAGTCACCAGAAGAAATCACATCATTCGAAAGTAAATAAATCGGTTTCGAGTCGATTCCTACGATTCCTAGCTTTCAATAATCGGGAACCTTGCCGCCCAGCACTAGTTCCAAGCAGCCCTCCTCCTCAATGGACAATATTGTACCTATAGGGCAGTACAACGTTTACAAATCAATTAACCGATACAATAAATGTTCCACCTAGCGTTGAATCGCCCTTCCCTCTTAGAGATCATACTTTATTAATCATTGTACATGTAATGTACCAATTTTCAACAAGCCACTTTTGGAGGAAGGGCTGCCCGAAGCACAGTAATCAAACGTACGCTTTCTTTTGCTTGGACAGGTTGATCCGATTGTACCCTAGATAGAACTTTTTTTCTCTGTTTTTTTTCCTTTTAGTTAGTCATTAAAACTGTACCAAACTTTGGCATTGGTCACCTTGTGGTAAAGCTACCGAACCCGTAATCGCGATTCTGCAGAGTATTTATTTTTGGGGGTGGGGGTGAGTAGTACGCGTTTTACGGCACTCGCAACACGCACAATTAGGTTATGTAATAGTGGAGAAGAATGTCCTTAGTATACTTTGGGTTCTACGTATCCTCATTGCCTTCATTTGTTTTATATCAGAGTCGCCATGACTTCGTACCTATAATGTACCAACCGTTGACAGGGACATTTTTTTTCTACTAATGAACAGAATGAACACACTCTTTAATGTCTGACGTTGTGTCCTTGGGAAAGGCACTTTGCATGAATTTTCCCTACTTCACATAAAGGAAAAATGGAATGGGTACCCATCCATAAAATGTAAGAGATCTTGTTAATACATGTATGTTTGTGTTTTAACGCCTGTGAAATGTGAGTTTGTACTGCTCGTCTCCCAGGAAATTGAGACTGTTTCAAAATATTATCAGCTCAGTTCGGATTGTAAACCGTGTGGGGCTTGCAGGTAAACGGAAATTCGCACAGTACAAATGCTTAATTTCTTCTTCTTCTTCTTCTTCTTCTTCTTCTTCTTCTTCTTCTTCTTCTTCTT